TTTAAGAGATGAAGGTGAAAATGTTCCAAGTATTGAAAAATACAGAAAATAAGTGTATGAATACCAGTATCAGGTGAATCACTCTCTATATATTATTAATTAGATATAAAATTGTTGTTCTTATAAATACGTACGTACCGATTCGGCGTCGCGACTTGTGTCTGAAGTAAGGTAATATATTTTTTTTTAATGATAAAAGTTTTAGTTAAAAAAACTTGCTCCACGTTTGTCGGATAGTGCGGACACACTGCGGACCGCCGCCCGAGAAATCACATACTGCACACGCCGTAAGAATGTATGGTAATAACATCTCTATACTAATATATGTACAAAAAATATATATATATACATAGATATGTTTTTTTTTCATTTTGCACGAATACACCATGGCGGCTGTCGATGATGATTATTTTTAGATGATATATTTTTCAGTTTGCCGGGTCTATTAAGATTTTTTTTACGATCCAGTCGGTGGTCTACGCGGCGGCGAAATGGCGGCAATGTAAAAAATAAACAGATATATAAATTATAAAATCGTAAAATAAAAAAATAAACACCAAACGGTAATCGAATAAAACCACACACACACACACACGCCAGGCATGTCATAAAATACAGCAACAACAGCTGTTGTTGGCCGCCACCGAAGTCTCGCGTTTTTATTATTATCACCGTCATAGTAATAATATTTAAGTACTCTGAAAACGGCGAACATCATATACAATCGTGTTGTCGATGAAGAGCAATCGTAAAAAACAGAAAAAATATTACTAATAGATAAGTTGAAAGGCTCGTGACGGACTGAAAGAAATGTTAGAACGCAATAGGTCCCAATAGGGCCATTATTATTATTATTTTTTTTTTAAGTCTTCTGCCGGCTTTGACAGCGAGACCTAGGTCGGAGCTGTTGATTAGAATGATAGATTTGACCAGAATGGATAGTTTGACGGTGGAGGTATAGGACCCTGGTACTTTTTGGTACTATCTAATATCGAATGTATTATCTCTAATCTCTTATTTCACCTCCAGCATCCAGCTAGATCATCTCATAACCCTTTTCTCCCTCTTCTAGCCTCTAGCGTCCAGCTGAGCCATCTCTTATCTCTAATCCATTATCTCTATAACTGAAATATATTTTCGGTGACGTTCAGCGTAACAACGTTCACGGATTATACACTCATATGCGATAAGTTTATTGGAAATAGAGATTGAAGAAACTAATAATGCAAACGCTAAGACTTGAAAATAAATTTGTCTACATATTTATGGAACACATTCTGGTTGAAAACACATTTTTTTTTTAATCAATTTTTTTTATTAATGGACATCCACTATTTACGAAGCTCGACCGAAACGTAAACAGCTCTCTTGGCAACGCGATAAAATTTATTTAACAACACAAATCTATTAACGACTACTCGAATAACACATTAGTTTATTGTTTGTAGAGCGAAAAAAAATATTGCTCAATATTGCGCTGTCCCACGCAAAACGGCATTATTGTCTAAACGTTTTGTTGAGATTTGGTGGAAAATATATTTTGTGCCAGACGACAAAACCGTAAAGCGGCGAACAGTTTCCAAATCGGCTAATCTTAGCACATAGAATTGAAACACATTTTGTGAACAGCTTTTGTTGTTTTGTCAATGGTATTTATTGTTTTTTTCTATGATTTATAAAATATATGGCGGAGTTACCGTCATATAATCATCACCTAACCTAACATTTCTATGATTTATCAAATGTATACAAAAAAATCTACGACCATTATGTGACGGATTATTTAGTATTATAATTTATATCTATTCACAACAAATAATAATAATACATAGATTACAGATAAAACATTATAAAACGGTGTAGTCTTAAGATGTTGTCCTGGTTTTATCATCATGTTATTATCACCTAACTTGACATTTTTTAGAATTTTGCATGGATAAGTAACGTAGCATTTTTACATTCCACGAAATTGGAACACAAAATGGCTGCCTCATAGGTCGGGACATTTTTCAATCTGAATTAGCGTTCCATATATTGAGTTCAGTGCTATAAAATGATTAAATATAGTATCATGAGAGACAATTATTTAAGATAAAAAAAATGTATATTTACCTAGTTATTATCTAGAATTAAAATAATGAAGATGTCTAATTTCTATATTTAATTTTTCTTACAAAAGATTTTATAAGTTTTTGTAGGAAATATTTTGCGTATTTCTTATATTTTCTCAAAGAAATCATAATTTTTGATTTTTTAGAAGAAAAAATCAGTGTGTTTTATTGATTTAAAGAACATTGTTCTCTTGCTTGCTAACCGTCGTTTTAACCTTATTTGTTTTGGCAAAAAATTATGTTGCCACTAGTTCATGGCGATGAAAACTTTTAACTTAAAACGGCAGCGTACACGGTTGTGTAATGTAATTGTGTTTTCACATAAACGAGGTAAAAGTTTAAATTGGGCTAAACAGTGGAGTTAATACAAAAACGTTACAACTTGGTTACTTAGTTGTTTGTTATCAACTTAAAAATAGCAACATTAGCTGTGTCTAAAGTTTCTAATCAACAGACGGCGGACTACAGCCATCCGTACGAGTAAGACTTTTGATTATATTATGTTTTTGTTTTTATTTCAAATAAATCACAACAACGCAAATGTATTTAATAGTTTTAACGCTCTTGTTAATTATTATTTTAATTTATATTTATTAAACGCGCTTTTAAATCGTATTAAGGTATAATTATTGTGATCTATACACGACCATATCAAACACTTTGGACATTTTTAAAAATTAAATCGCATTGTGGTAGTACTTTTGGATTCTAACCTAACTAAACCTTACCTTCACCCACGCCTGAAAGTGTACCTTATAAAGGCAAAAGTAGACAATGTTCACCTCTTTTTTCCTACAAACCTTCCAAAATTGTTTGAGGTACTCTCCGGGTAATGTACCTACTTCAGGCGCATTCCCTTGATTTCCTATCTTCGAATTGATCTAAGAAATTTGTAATATTTTTAATATTACTTTCTTGCACATCCTTTCAAGATAGGATAGCGATACCGGCGAAAAATTTCTACATAGATTTGATAGTCTTTGAGTCATTGAAATCATTGAAGTGAGTGAAATCGAGTAGGAATGTTGATTGAAAGCACCTACAAGGTATGGGTTACGGTGTTAGCATATGAAATAAGGAAGCCATCCGTTTACTGTCGAGAAAAAAAAAATGAAATACCGTTAAACTTTTTTCCTCGGGTACTCGAATGATACTTGTATCGAGCAATAGGACGCGACAGACTATGATTTGCTTCTGTCAGAATGTGTAAATCGCAAATTGCCGTACCTACCCTTCATAATATGATAGTGTATATTGCATTTTGTCGACTGGGCTACATTTGGCTGTTCACGACCATAATGTCCATCTATGGCCATCTGGCTTACTTCGGTCGCTACCCGAAGTGTAATGAAATCACGCATTGCCTTCGTGCGTATGGATCCGTCTCCCCGATCGTTCAATTTAAAACGTGACCGTCGGTTTTTATCTCTAATTTTACTATCCTAGACACACTTTCTTTCTATCTATATTTGTTTTCGGCTTTATTTATTTTACTACAAGCTGCTAACAGAGTTGTGCAAGTTCTTATTCGAATAATTAAACGAATAGAAATTGATTCGATTGGAAAATGTATTTGATTTTTTTTTCTTCAATTTATTCAATTGAAAAATTATTGAAAAAAGCACTTTTTAAATGATATTTTTAAAAAATGATTCGAATAAATTGGGAAATAATTATTTGAATAAGTTTTATTCGAATAAATTAAAAAAATTATTCAGATAAATTGAGAAATAATTATTCGTACAACGTTTTATTCGAATGAATTGAAAGCAAATTATTTGAATAAATTGTTATTTGAATAAATTGAGAAATAATTATTCGAATAACGTTTTATTCGAATAAATTGAAAGCAAATTATTTGAATAAATTGAGAAATAATTATTCGAATAATGTGTTATCTAGATGTAATTTAGATAACGTTTTATTCGAATAATGCACAACTCTGGCTGTGCTGTGAATCCAGACCGTTGCAGTTTAGTCGTGTCGGTGGTGGAATTCGAGGAACTATCATTGTTATGACTGTGCGAGACTGATTTCCAAATGTGGAAATCCCACAAGAAAACCGTAATTATTATTAGATTGTTTTCAAAGGTGGATTTCAACGGTTGTCGCGGGAGATTAGTCAAATGATATTCCATAAGTAGAGTTAAATATTTTCGATTATTTTATTTTTATTTTTTCAATAACTGTGTTGTTTTTTTTTATACGAAAACGTTGATTGATACAAAGTTAAAAGCGAGAAAAAATAAATGATTTTTCTCGCGGCCACAATGACTGTTATCAGCTCTTGAGGCCGAGGTTTACTTTAAAGAACATTAGTAAAAGTGATTTTTTTTTTTTTTGATGGATATTTCCACTTTGGTTTATTACCGTTTTCTATGAATTATCATACTGGCGCTATTGTAATAATTATTTATCGTTCGAGTTGTATATTATATTTAATGTAATATGATAACATAAATTTATCCATCACTACTACAAAATACAAAGCCGTTACTTTGCATGTTTTGTAGTCTGATTTGGTTTATTTTGTTCACTTTCAAAAGTCGGTGATCTTTTGAATTACATTTTTCCACACACATTATTCGAGTAATAATTTTCCAAATTATTCGAAAAAAAAAAGTGTTCGAATAAATTTTACTTGAAGAATGTGTCACTTAGATGTGTGCACAACTCTCCACACAACACAAACCTTTATTGATGTCTTGCTATATTTATGTATACTTATTCAAAAGTGTTTATTTTTTTAACAGTTAATGTACTCTACATTATTAATTATGTACGGACTACTCTCGACGGACACCGAACCGCCATACTTAATAATTTAAAGAACCTAATGGAAGCCACTCGTGAATAATTGTGATTTTAAAAACGTTAAATTTTATTTACCTAAGCGGAAAATTCCAAGTCGGTCAGTAGTATGCCGTCCGTTTTATTTTTTCCACGCCGGGTTGTTTCGGGTTCTGAAAAAATATAATAAAAATAATTGAATTAGTTGAAAAAAAAAAGTAAACGTGGTCAACTGCGAAACAGTTTAACGGAATAGTAATATATATATATATATTTTTTTTTATTAAATATTCACACATACAATTTTGCAGGCTTTGTAGATTAATTTAATTAAACAAAACGTTTTATTACATTTTGTAATTTTTTTTTCAGCCTTTGTTTTAACAATATCGCAATTCGAAAATATTAATCAATTTTCAATAAAAAAAAAAAAAAAAAATACATTTTCCACGTTGTCGTTGCCTCGTGTTGTGTGTGTAATATTTTTTACTGGTATTTTATTCCAGGTGTTTTATATTGTTTTTTTTTTTTTTTTGTTAGAGTTGAATTTTTACGGGTTGGTCGATATTACCCGAATCGGTAATTGAATCTAATAATTTTTTTTTTTTTTTTACAATTCTCTCTCTAAACAACAGTCCTATCTAAATAATTAATGTAGTGGATGTTTGTCAATGCGATGCCATTGAAAACAACGCCCACTACCGCAAAACTCTAATCTGATGGTTTTAATTTAACGGCCCTAAACTGTCTAAACCGTTGACGCCTTGAATATTTTATTTTATACCTAGAAAATTATTTTTCATAAAATTACACTTCTTTTAGTTGACAAATAGACAGGATAACAGGAGAGTCTGTACTGATAGATAGTGGACCATTTAATAAATGTATACCTAGCATCCTTCTACGGTCAGCTGAGAAAACTAAATCAAGGTGATTCGCAACAGAAGCGTAGTCATGTGGAGGACATGGATTATGCAAAAAACTTACTCTGGACTTTCTCGAGCTGAAGCAAACCATTGGCGGTGTGTGGGTTCCAAGTTATTGAAGCGTACTGAAAAATAGGTCGAACTAGGGTGCAAAACAATGTCTTAACCGAGCTTTTTAGGGTAAAATCTTTGGCTAATCCCATAATAAACCCAAAAACTTTGAAAGCTTTACAACAAATCATATCAACGTGGGGGCTGGGATCGAAAGAACTGCTGAGCTTAAAGCCAAGATCGACGGGACGTAACCATCGGCACACAGGAGTTCAGAGTCCAAGAGATGAATACGGATATATTATTTGGGGAATCGGCTCCAATTGAATGTCATAATTGAATTTTAAATCAAATCTAATTAATCATTAGATTAGATTCATAGATTCATAGATTAGAAAAAGACATTAGAGATAAAAATGGAGATAATGGATTAGAGATGATAGAGTTTGGGGGGATTATGGAGGTAAATTAATAGAGATAATGGATTAGAGATAAGACACTAGAGGTACTAGATTGCTGGACATATCCATGTATTGATGTATCTGCAAGAAGTGTGGATAGTTTTGTAATAATATAACATGAGGACATTTGTTTTCCACAAGAAACAATAACAAATTGCAATTATTTTAAGGGTATTTTATCGAACCGCCGGTATTTGAATCATTTGCATAACGACTTCTTTATGGCCACAATATTCCCGTGTGTATAAGGTATTTGAAAAATTCGGAAAACCAAAAAAATGTCTCAAAGAATTTCCAGCGAAAAAGCTTTCCCGAATTCCTGGTACAAATGTCTATTAAACATCGTGTCATTCCTTCGACGTTTCCAAGATCAAAGACCTCTGAAATATAATACTTAATATCCGAGCAAAACAAATATTTGTACATTTTACAAGACGTGGTTCTCTTATTGCAATAAACTCTTCTCGTTTTTGAATCACGTTTTTTTTTATTATTATTATTTTTATATGAGACAACGCACGTTTGAAATACAATTCTGTCAAAATACTTATATCTAATATAAGCACTCATGGCCGTGCGGAAACGGCTTTAAGTCGAACTCTGCCATTGCGAAGCGCATAAATCATATTAAAATTTTTTTTTTTTTACTGCGAGTATTCCATGTACTTTATAAAACTATATTTTTTACATATACATCTATACTGCTAATTATAAAGTTTACAAAAAAAAAAAAACAGTCGTTGTGACCCGCAGTAGTTGTAGGAATAAAAAATAATAAACTCATTTCTAAAACTTTTCCATCAATCACAATAATTCTGTACCTGTCGCAGGGGAAATAAAAAACTCACATGCACCTTTATTTAAAAAAAAAAAATCGTTCATTCCCAGCGAACATGGCTTCAAAATATTTTAATACTATATTTCGGTGAAAAATTATTATATTATTTCATCACAGCCGGATTTCATTTACCGGATGATCAATTTTGTAGGTTTTCTTCGTGGAAACGTTTGAACGGGATTCGTTAAATAATCCGTTATCATATTCCAGAGCGATATTATCATTTGAAACGTAGATAGACAATATATTTTAGGGATAAAGTAGTTTTGATAAATTTCGATCATGTCAATCATAACAATCAAAGATCAATATTGGTCGTAACTCGATTCTATAACAATTTACGAAAAGAAACCCAATCATTTTTCGTTAATTAACCGAGTGTTTATCACATAATATTAGCAATCTATAATCGTTTTTACTATTTTATTGGGTATACTATTCGCTTTTAAATCTTTGGATCATTTTGGCTTGTGCGATGAGATTTGGGAGTCATCGCCGTTCCCACATCAGCTTTGGCCACAGCAGAAATTTGTTTTTACTTGCCAAAATAAAACATGTCGAAAAGTTCTCGGTAAGGCGCTTTGTGTAAGTAACAACTTGTTTATCCTTCATTGTACAGCTTGCAGCTATTGTGTACCGGGTACACTATGGTGTTCTCGAAATTGTCGGTTACCGCACTTAAGATTCAAAAGCGTTTTTACTGTAACAGCATGTAGTTGGCGGGGCCGTTTCGAACTTAATGCCATTGTGGGTTTAGTGTTTCTGGGGAAAATGTCGTCATAGTCTTAAGTTTTAGCGGTGACTTGCGGAAGCAAGAAGAATTTCCCGGTAGTTCGGCAGCCAATGAAGGGCTTTCATTGTTACCAACAAACGGTCGACCTTTAATGGCGGCAGTTAAACCCAATCTGTAAACGAGCCAATATAACAAGCACGGTTTTGTTGCAGTCTTGTCGGTTAGGTTCTTAAGCTCGGTGTCTCCAATAAAACCGTTATCAAGTATGTGCAATAGGTCTGACAGAGCTCAGAAGGTGTTTACAACGGTGTGAGTATATGTTCGTTTTACAAAACTGAAGCCACTGAACCGATTTCTTCATGTAGCAAGCATATAGATAAAAAATCGTGCCTGCAACTTACTCCAATTGACAATGTATAAGTTTCACCCCTTTCACTTCCAAATCAAGACAAACGCCTAAGTATACAAATATTCTTAACCCTTCCGCCCAAGAGGAGTGGTCAGTTTTTCTAAATTTTGTTTTTTCACATGCAACTCTTTAAGACTTAAGGTCTGGAAATCAGAATGAAGGCAAGTCCAGAGTTCTCCATATCTAGACTATATAACATGTACACAATATGCAAGTTTTTCAAATATCGGTAGTCAAACAGTCTGTTTTCTATTTACTTGTCCACCACAATATTAAAGATGCAATTTTAAACACTTCTTTGCCTTCACAACCCATTTCAACTATATTATTAATATTCCTGTCATCTAAAGATTCACTTCGGAACGTTATTTTGAAAGTCACCCAAATAACAGCTGATGTTTAAATGCCGAATTGGCGATTTGAACAAAACTAATTAGTCCAACGGCAGAGACACTAGCAGTTGTTGGTTTTTTTTTATTATCAAATGACTGGGTTAACCGAATAACAGCTCAATACGGCGTAGTCAGATACATAAGCTCGGACAACAGTGCGCTTTGATAGAATTGCCTTAATTAATATTGTCCTAGTTCCGAATCCATTAGTAGCCCCATTGGTCCCCTTCGGCAAACTTCTAACTTCCAGCAAGCCATCTAACTTGCGCAGCCAGGTGTGACGCGTTTTGGTTTCTGCGCAAGTACGTTCTCTCGCGGTACGGTAACGTTTTTGAATAAAATACATTATTTATAAGCTTTATAGCGTTCAAATGTTCCCTGTAGTGTACAGTTCGTCTCACATATTGTAATCCACACAATAGGCTCTAATAGTTGTATACACCATACAAATGTACGGAATAATATATTATTATATAGTGCTTGCGGTCAGGCTGGCATTTAATGGCCCGTTGGAAAATGAAAACAAAGCAAAACCCGACACAGTTTTTTTTTTTTTTTGTATGGAAAAAACCGAGTTCACTGAAAGTGAAATAGCGCGTGTTAGAACAACAAGACAAATCGATAACGATTGGATACGAGGAAGTGTCCGTACAAACTACATAATATATAATACAGATTCGGACCGTGTAGGGAAAAGAGGGAAACAAAAAAAAAATCTGCGGTAGCCTTTGCAGCGATAAAAATATAATAAAAGATTCGACCCGATTGATTTTTCTAAGTGTAGGGCAAAATAAAAATATCACTGAGTAGTCGAAAAATGTAAGTGGATGAAAAATAAGTAAAAATAAATAACAAGAATTGGTTTATCTCTCGGTTCTTTGGTGTGCACCGGTGAACGCATCGCGCTGACAGGGTAAAAACGTCGAATAGCCATTAGTACTCGAACCTATTGTTGTGTGATAAACAAGGCAATTATTGTTACACTGTATAAATGGGGGTTTCTGTTGACAAATCGAAAACGGTGTTCGTCCGACGGATATCCGCCGGACGGGATGCTTTGTCGACGAGGCTGATTAATATTGTACCTAATTATTACAGTTTAAATTAGTTTTAAATTTACTCAGTGGCTGCTTGCATGCACGACGGGTCCGTATGACCCTAACGGTTTTATTTGTATGAAGTACATGTCGCACTTCTAAAGTACCAGGGTCCTATGTTGAGTTTGCTATGCATTGCTCAGCAGCTGTTGTGGATGATAATTTATATGAGTCACATACCGTCAAAACAGTTTAACCTATTAACAAGATTGTGAGTTCATAAAAACGTTATGAAAACTAAATTTGTATAGAATAATATAAAAGGC